AAATATGACACAACGAAGGGCGACATTGGAATGATTGATTTGAATGAAGATGTGCCATCCACACACACCAAAAATGTTCATTATTGGCCAAATCAAACCTTATCGCCAACCAGTCCGCTGCAAAAACTCTTAATTTGAAGCAACCAATAAATTAATGGAGACGGCGATACGGCCAAGAGACAAAGAAATAAGGAAAATAGTTTTTTTTTTTTTAATATTTCCGCTCATTTCTTGAAGAGAGGAATTATCTGCAGAGATATGCTGAAGAACAATGTTGGACAGCTGAAGCCAAATTGTAATGATGGGCTTTTACCAGAAGAAACGAAGCTAGAAAAGTCAATTTCGGCTGCACACAGTCAGTCCATTTGGCTTTAGGATGCGTGCAGATGTTCATTTTTAAACTTTTAAGCTCGAAAAATTTAATGTTAATATTTAATTAAAAACATAACTTTAATTTATTGCACTTCCCCTCACATTTTACTTCATATCTTTATATTTTTTTACTATTTTAAATTATATATTTTTATTTTTTAATATTTAGTTGCCTCCAAAACCCCTACATCTAAAAACAAAAATATAAAAATTTAGGATATCAAAAAAAATAATAATAAAATGTGAATAAAGTATAGAAATTTAAATTTATTTTTTTTCTTTTTAATTTCTAAAATTGTACTGTGTTTTGACAATATTCTAAACAAGAATCTTAATGTTACAACAAAATTCCCAGTAATAACATACTGTCATATGTAAAATTTAAGGATATTGTCCCCATAAAGAAAAAAAAAAAGAGGTTAATTAAGCATCTATATGAAATCACGCCTAATAGAGGTTAATTAAGGATCTATATGAAATCACGCCTAAAGTTTAATTTGAATGGAAGTGATTTATGCGTTTTTCTCTATACCACAAAAAAAGCTTAAGACGATTTAAGTTTCAGGAAGTTTGTGGAAATTGTGATTCGATTTTTAAAATTCCAGTTGTGTAAAGCTGCTATATATATGATAAGTACTGTGAGATTTGAACGAGGGAGAGGAATAAAAACAAGAGAATAGAAAGGATAGACAAGGAAGAAAAATAGATGATTTTCTCTTCTCTTTCATGTTAGAATTACAAAAACATAAAACTCGCAGAATCTGAGGGACAAGAACACATCAAAGCCTGTATAATATATTCTGTCTCTTAATTTTGTCATGTAAAATTTATTTACTATTCCCTCCATTTAAAAATATAAAATATTTTTAACTGAACTTATTCTCAATAAAGCAATTATTTATTATTAAACTAACCATATTTTTTATATTTATTTTTATTAAATATCCTATAATAAATATAAAATCAACATTAATATAGATACTTTTTTAAAAAAAGTAATGATTATATTTTAAAAAATTAAAAATAATTTATATTCTTAAATATTTAATTTTTTAAAAAATAATTTATATTTTTAAATGAAGAAAGTAATTAACGTTCTATCAGTACCTTTTATTTCGAAACTATTGCCTTGGTAAAAGTACTATCAACTCTATCAGAGTCCGGGATAGATAACATGAACCACTATGCAAGGGATAATCAGCATGTTATGCCCAATCAGTTAAAGGGGCAAAGCGTCATGTCAGAAAGAAAATAATGGTTTTTATTAATTTGATCCCACATGCAGAAACTGCTTTTTAGATAAAGAGGAGAATCATTGTCAAACGCATACCCTTATTCATTATAATTCTAGTAAAATAAAAGGATCAATATTTTAATCATTTCATTTCTTCATCAAACAACAGTTTATGTTAATTAGATTCAATCACTTAACAAAATGAAGGCAAACCAACTGTTTAAAGAGTATTTATAAAGATATTTATAAATTATTCATTAACAAGTTTTTCATATGGATAACACTTGTAGGGTATGAATCACATGCTTATCAAATAGATAAATCTTTGTTAGTTTTAAATTATTTTAATCTAATGGAAAAGCGACCTGACCGATAAAGAGTGTGACTAAAAAAGGAGATACCCAAACCTCTATTTTATCAAGGAAAAAAGGGTCAAGATCATACCCTAATGTTATATATTTAGAATTAACTAGCTCTATTTATCAGAAATTGTGCACCAGCTTTTTTTCACTTCTTATCTTTGAAATTGAAATTTAGGGTTGGCAGGGCAAGAAAACAAGCTAATTAATTTAAAATATGATCACGCATAAGCTAACATAAAATATGATCTCAAATAGAAACTATATATGATGTTGCATCAGAATGGCAGATTCTGGACACAGAATCTATTTTGAACTTTATGAATAAGGTAAGGTATGAGACAAATCAAAGGTTTTGCAAGAGGATGTAAGTTTTATTTGTTGTTTCCGAATGTTCTCAGACAGCATCCTGTATAAATGTATGCCCACAGAAACTTGCTGTATATGTAGTTTTGAAGCATCAAATCATTGGGCCCTATCTTAACATAGATATTGTGAAGGTTGCTACGGTGTGGAAGAAACTTTAGGGGCCATCTAATCACATCATAACTGATAAAAAAGAGTGTGTGTGTGTGTGTGTGTGTATAATAATAATACAAGAAGATCTTGCTGTTAATTGAACTGTGTCACACCTTTATGTCAAAAGTTAATTCAATAATTAGGGCGAAAAATCTAAAAGATGAGCCAAACAAGTCTGCCTTATAGTATCTACTAACACAGAAAATGATGGATTAATGTAGTCGAGTTCTGATGTTGAGGGGAATAAGTGCTAGGGGAAAGCTCCAATGACAAAAATTGGACACTTGTGTCAACATGTCTAAGATTTATGTTCTGGCCCGCACCAAAAGACATAGAAGTGCTTATACGCATGCGTTCAGACACTACATTTTTCAAACCGACAGTTAAAAGGATTAAAACTTAATTACTAATATTTGAATAAAAACTAAACAAACTGAATGTTTAATTTCATTTTTATATATACAGTTAGACAAACTATGTACTGAGTCAACAAAATTTCGATCAATAAATACACAAAAAAATTTTTTATAAAAAAAAACCGCCTCCTTAAAAACAATTAGATCTCAATCAAACATGCATACACTATTGTTTAAAAAATCATACACAAACTAGAGATAATTTCGGCGTAGAATGGATAAGCTTGTACTTGTTCTACCCAGCAGAACCTGCAGAGGAATAATGCTGAAAGAATCGGCACAAAATTTCCGCATCAAAAAACGCAGATTTTTCTGTTTCAATACAATTTGAGACCAAATGAACCTGCAAGAGGGAAGTAATTGTTGACCCACGAGACCTCGAGACAGGAAATTTGTTCACCACCTAGAATCCACAAATCGAGATGTCTCTGAAAAGCGAGGAGAAACGAGAAAAACAGTGATCTGATATGCCATAGATAAAGGAAAGGGAGGCTAGCTTGTAATCTCAACCACAAATGGGAGGTTTTCTTTCTTTTCTCTTTTCTGGTACAGTGGAAAATTGAAGCGAAAAGAAAGAAAGAAAAAAACCTATCCATAGAAATGAAAGCACTAAGAGAGCATAAGCAGGCATGACTATGTAGGGTTTGGCTTTGTGGTCTCATAATCAAGCACTCTAACACACATGCCCTACAACTTTCGCCACTCAGAGTTATCTCTCCTGCTTGAAAGCAACCCCAGCACGACCCTTGTTTTGCCATATATCATGTGTCCTTGTAATTATGCCATTTTTAAAGTGCTTGCAAGACTCAGCTATAGCTACAGAGAGAGAGAGAGAGAGAGAGAGAGAGAGGAAAGTTGTAGGTGTACTTGTAGATAAATTAAGTGGGAAGAGCGGCATGTAAAAATGGAAAGAAAAACTCAGAAAAAGGAAAGTTTGTTAGGTCATTCAGGTGCGCTGAGAGAGAGGGCATTCAAGTGTAAATGGGACGATACCTATTTGAAATATGTACAAGGCCGCCATGTACAGGTGAAGTGATCACATCTATAAATGCTTGTATTTGAAACACGGTTTTTATAATAAATCAAGCAAATAAAAATTTAGTAATGATCAACTAGTAATTATTGTTTCTAATTCAATAATGATAAGCAATTGACCCTACAACACCAGCGAAAAGCACCACAGCAAGAGCATTTTCAGCCACAAGGCAAAGGGATAAGCTTAGGCACGCATGGGAAGCGAAAACCAACAAGAAGATATTCTCAAATACTTCCTCCGATTCACTTTATAAATTATTAAATTAATAATGATATTTTATTTTAAATAAAATATCTAAATTATTTTTAAAAAATAAAAAGAGATAAATAAAAAATAATATTATATAATTTATTTATTTTTTAAAAAGTATGTTTATAATTTTATTAAGTTTTATTTTTTATATTTTTATTATACTAATACATGAAAATAATTTATAAATAAAATCGAGCAAAGTTTGATGGATCGATACATAGATGAACAGATAAATAATTGGAACTTCTCTTTTTGGTGAAAATGACGTGGTAAGGAACCCCAGTCAAAGGGAGCATCGCTTCCCGTGGCAGGCCTCACAGTGGAAGCCCGTTGGACTGAAATAATTATGGTACCTTTCTCTCTCCTCTTTAGGGCTAGAGGGGGACACGTGTAGGCAAACAGTGTACAGTTTCTTCTTTCTTCTGCCAGTGAATTGGCTAGAATTAAAAAAAAAAAATATTAAGGATCACATCGACAACGGGAATAATAAAGAAAAGAAGAAGAAAATAATGTGTTGCGGGCAGCTTCCCATAAAAGTCATGGCATGTGACGTCCCACGCTTTCCCATTTGAACCACTCTCTGTTTGCGCGTCTCAGAGAATGAACCGGACAGAGACAGACATGGATGAAACTTGGAAGTCCATGCAAGGTCAATGAGACAGGTAGGCAGCAATAAATGAAAACCAGATTAAACAGATAAATATATGAAAACAAATTAAAAAAGAATCATATATAACGACATATTTAATATATTTATCAACTGAAATGTGACGGAATTCTATGCTAGATTGCTAGCATGAGAGGAAGGTTGGGGAGGGAAGAGAAGGTGGGGGATTTTGAGTTGCGCGTGAAGTGGCACCTACGGACCACGTGAAGTGGCAAAGGTGAGAGGACATTATCTATCCACTGACTTCTCAAATCTCATAATATGGTTCTAAAGAGAGGTTAGCTTTTAGCTCGAAAGCTGTTAAGAAAAAAAGGTGTTGGATTACGGGCAATAAATTGCTGTTGTTGGATGGTGGTTCTTTAATCACTCGCACCATCTTTACTCTCTGCCTTCTCTCTCCCCCACCCCTCGGCTAAGCTCATTATTCAACCCTCATGCCTGTAAGGTATTATTGTCTGTGCTGTCTTCTTCAAACTGTTGTACGTACTATGCTCCAAGGAGGCAGTTGCACAACACCTCTCTCTCTCTCACACAGCTACACACGAACACATATACGGTGGTGCATCATCATCAATAGGTAAAAAGAACAGTAAGAAAATGGTTGTCTTTCTCAAACTGTATATTTCTTGCTTTTATGCAGGTAGAGCGCTGGGGAGCAGGCGAACTAAAATGAAGTGAAAAGGATGGAATTGCTGCTCTATTGTTCCTTTATAGAACTGAACATGTCGTTCTCAAGCTTTATCTAGTCCCATTCGCGGAGGCCTAGCTAGGGTTATCATCAAGTGCAACAAGCTCAAAGTATCCAACCAATATGTTTCCTTCGAACCCTTTTACCTTTGATAGCAACCAAAGCACCACGCAACAAAGCCTTCCTCCTCCTCCTCCTCCTCCTCCTTTCTCCTTTCTTCCCTTCCCTCCGCCTTCCTTTGAAGACAACGATATCTTCCTCGCTCAACAACCAAACCACCATCATGACTACCTCTTATTACTTCACCATCAATCACAACCTCTAGCTGAAGCAGCTAGTGCCAGCATGGAGGTTTCGAACAAGAATGAGCAGATCCCTGGAAGGAATAAGAGGATTTGCAAGAGAGACAGGCACAGCAAGATCAAGACGGCTAGAGGGCTAAGAGATCGGAGAATGAGACTTTCTCTGGAAGTAGCCAAGAGGTTCTTTGGTCTTCAAGACATTCTAGGCTTTGACAAGGCCAGCAAAACCGTTGAGTGGCTGCTGAATCAGTGTAAAGACGAGATCAAACAGCTAGCAATGGACAAGAATTACAATAATTGTGGTGTCAACGGGGTGAGGAGTGCATCTTCAACTTCAGAGTGTGAGGGGGTGTCAGGATTGGATGATGTGGCATTAAGTGGAATGAATCAAGAGCAAGAGGGAGAACGTTCCTTACTGGTGAAGAGAAGGACAAAAATACAAGAAAGAATGCACTAGTGGATCCTCTAGTCGCAAGGAAGTCGAGGGAAAAGGCTAGAGAGAGGGCAAGAGAGAGGACCAAGCAGATGAAAAGTCGGAAATTACTTCCAGAAGCTGATGACACAAACCATAATTGTAACCTCACCCAATTCGGTTCTTGGAATCCCTTTGAAACAGGAGAAAAGGTGAGTAATCCCTCCTTGGAGGTGATGGCTCAGGCTGCTGAAAAAGAACGAAGTTCTCAGGCAAAAGATGATGATTCCATGGTGGTTAGTATGGGCAAATGGAGCCCATCCTTGATATTCAACTCATTGAATACTCCATCTACATTCGTACAAGATGTAAGTTCAAGCTATTACACCAAATTTTGCACCAAAAAAACTACACAAACATTATGCATCCATCTTCCGAAAAAGTGTATCGACACTGCAGCATCAATTTGCAGAATTTCAGCTATTTGTGGCTATCATAACAATAAATCTTCATGTAATTAATGATTGAATATGGTGGTCTTAACATGTAGCGTGATAATTGACAAACATGCATCAGCAATACAAATTAAAGCAGATTACTATTTCTAATAGCACCATGTAATTGTTTGCAGCAGCATCAGTTTGTGGAATTTCAGTCCTTGGCAAAACTTTGGGAGGCCAACAACAATCACATGATCTAACGTATGATAAATTGGTTCATCCCCTTGCATATCTATCTTTGATGTGTCAATTGATCCATATTTAAAATGCAAGCATGATGTATTTTCTTTAATTTCTTTCCTTCTGGTATGTAATGTAATAAGGCTTCTTCCATTTGCTAACATCTGAAAACAATATCTGGTAAATGAATGTATGTCATCTCTGTGGAATTAATAATGTAACTTTTAATTTCTTGTTTCTTCCCCGACCCATCATATTTGTTTAGTGACACAAATATAGTTGAAAATCCACAAGTATTAGCAATACAGAGAGATTTCTTGAAATATTTATGCTTATATTAAGTCATACTTGTGTTGCTGACACGCTGAGATGACATGTTGCTACATTAATGTTAATTTTTTTTTTTAAAGTTGAATTGTCCCTAGGAAAATGGTTTATTAGGGTTATCTGGTGTATGGATGTTTTTGCTGTCTTTGAATAGCCTAAGCGTATTCCAATGTGTGATTAACTCTATTTGATTATCTTTAGAGAAGTGATTGAATGGACACATATCCACTATATGTACCACTATGCTTATGTCGATTTCTCGTTTTGAAATTTCAAAATATGAATGATTTCAGCTTATCAGAACACAGATTCAAGAAAAAGATATGTGAAACTAAAGCATGTGGAGGAAAGTTAATTAACTAATAATGAACGCACGCATCAAATCTGAAGTTTCAGCCACATATTGACACGGATAATTATTAAAACAACAAGCCATGGAGGAACCAAAAGATCCAATGGAGGAGCAAATGATATATTTAGACTAGACCGATGGATTATAGGGTTGTTAAGAACAACATAGTAAAAAGGATATATATCAGATATCATCAGGATGTTATTATTTGGTAGCAAAACTTTATCTAGATTCTAGGAAATACTTATCCCTCTCCCTTTTCCAAACTAAATTTCTAGAATGAAACAACTTAATCACTCATTCAATAGGATTTTTTTTTTACACCATCATTCAATAGGATTTATAATAAATATTATGTCTTCAAATTTTACACCTTGTAGAGACAGTGTCCTTATACAAACTCAAGTCTAATTCAGTACACTTACATGGAATGCATTAGCATTTGCTTAGCATGTCCATCAATTAATTTCACCGTACCCGTAAAGATTCACTTCTAATTCTTAGCTTTAATAAAGAGTATGGATCCTGAGCATGTTTTTCGAGAGCCAAGACACAAACAGAAGGTCTCCGACGAGAAAAATTTTCTGCCCCATAGACTCAAGATTCTTGCATCGAGTTAGTTTTTCTTTGCTGCATGCATGTCTAAGCTTTGGAGATTCGTATAATAATTCTATTCATTGTTTCGAAACAATCTTGTTATAATTATATTTTCAGACAGGATCCGTATCGTTTCAGTGAAAAAGAGTACACTTGAAAACATTGAACATGATGAGTAAAAGCTAAATAAAACTTATCGAGTTGACTGTGCATGGAGGAGCAGTGTAAGTTATGTTATCGCTCTACCATATTTTCCCTATAACTACTTTAAAATAAATTAGCATGTGACCAGACTTCAGGTCTAGCAAAGACTTCACTTAAAATTCCTAGGCAAGTTTGGTTTATAAAAATCGGTGCTTTAGGGCTTTTTTATGGACCAAGAAAATCATTATCACTAAATATAACCTCTACTGTCGTAAAATTTTATAGCAATTCCTGCAATTTGTAAAAATTGTCATTTTGGGTCTTTTCATCCAAACTAATTAGAAAATAATTAAATTATATATTTGTGAAATTTAATAATATTTCAGCAAACTACCATATATTTATATAGATCTTTTGCATTAACAAAGGGTAAACCAATCAAAAATTAATACTTTATCGAAACTTTAAAACGGACAATTATTTTAAAAAATCACCCAAAAAAACAATTTTTCTGAGTTGAAGGAGTATTTTACCAAACTAATATGAACATACCCCCTAAATAATCGTTTTTCGTACCGGAGAAAAAAAGCTCCGAAAGGGTAATTTTTATGAATAGAAGTAACAAGAAGTTTAAAAACAAAGCAAATATAGTTATGGTAGCTACGGAAGGTATTACTTGGTACGATAAATCTTTCGATTCTCATCTGATTAAAGCTTTTGGGCAAATCAATATTGACCAATTTTATTCCCGTCAAGCACCAAATAAAAATAATCATAAAAGGAAATTTACTTTTGTGATAAGAGCTATGAAATAAATATTAGATTAGTAAATGATACGTAAGTTATGCTGAATTAGGTCATAGAACGATCAAGAAATGACAAAGGAAAGGATAAGGAATCCCCTTGATTAATAAAATTGGTTATATAGAGACAAGGCAGAATTTCACTGGTTTGTAAAGCTGCTTTACGGTAGCTCTGAATGTTATTTTATGAGTGCCGTTTTCAATCACGCCTAAGCTTATATCAGAGCCTCCAATTAACGAAGGAGGTGATCGGTGCGTTTTTGTGCGTGCAAGACATAGGTTTTTTTTTTTTTCAAATATTAGGAAAAATATACCTTAATCAGCTTTTTCTTTTTCCTTTTCAAAGTTGTCGTTTTTATTAGCCTTTTTTAGATCTTCTTTTTTTTTTTTTGGGAACCAAACATAAATATAATGACACGCATCCCTTCACACACACACACACACACCCCATATCGAATATAGATTACGAGTTATAAAATCGGATTGTATCAAACCCAAGGCTAGAGCTACTGAGTTAGAACAACCTCTCCTACAGTAAAGTTAACTAAAGATCTCGAGACATTTTAGTGGAAAATTTCTCACTTTCAACTTTCAAACCAGCGTAGGTACTGACATGTCTAGCATCGGCTATCTTGTCAGTTGTCAGACAGAGAGCGATCCTCTTTCTCAAAATTATGAGAAATTTTCTTTCATCAAAGCCAGTTAGAAAATAATCATATGCAAAATAACAGGCATTCTATGTTGCAAACAAAAATCCTTCACATTGATACAACTAATTTAGAAAAGAGAGGTAACGCATGCATTCTAAGATAGTACCTCTTCAATGGGATACTGATGAACTATGTCCACCAAGTATATGATGACCACTACGGCCAACGAAGGTCTAGGACCCACTATTTGGCGTTGTACGTGTGTTATTAGTTCTCAACCAGGATAGAGACAAGGAAGACTGAACAAAGATGATCATTTCTAGGATGAAACATGTTAAGCTTATCATGTTGGCGTGCTTGGCTCAAGCTATAGTAGCGTGTGATTTTTATTTGTACGAAAGATAAGCCTGAAATCAAGTCTATAGCAGAAATCTGAAACACCAATTATATTAACGGAGAAAGTTTGTTCGAACTGGTTCGATATTAAGGAAATGAAAAGGAAAAGCAGACTCACCGTACTTAGAAACACATGTAGTTGCTTGTAGAAAATGTGTCTCCGACAAGTTGCACTGTCCTCCACCTTTGCGTCAATTTCATCTTCCCTTCAAGTTCAACCTCTCCTCCTCGAAATTTTCTGAATTACAGAAGACAACTCGTTAAAGTAACTGAACAGGTTTATATAAATTCAACATTCAGCTACACAGCTGTTGAATTATAAAATACTAGGTGTATTCTGGTCTTAAGAACAGAATGGAAAAATTAGGCTAGTCTACGAGTCTAGTATAGGAGGTGTGCGCAGAGAACAAGTGGTTTTAAAATTTTACTTCATTCTGTCCCGAATCCGGATTCGTTGCCCATTTCAAAAGATGTGGAGGAAAGTGTACCCATGTTTAGTTTTTTGGCTTGATGGGTCTCTTTTATGCAAATGATTTTTTTATCATTAGCTTGTAGATAAAATGAGAGACATCCTGGTATTTTACAATCATGAAATAATACAAATTTGTTTTTTTTAAATGATTTTTCGAGGGCAAAGAAATCAAAATGGCGCCTGAAAAAATCAAATTACACCTTTCATGAAATTTAGCATATGAGGACCATCAGATTAAAACTCATGGTCCCGATCTTGAGATGGGCAACAAGGGATCTGGTTCCATTTTGTCCCCTAGCGCGTTGGGGGCAAGGGGTGTTGTCTGTGTTCAGCTAGATTATTATTGTTTAAATAAACGATTTCTGAAAGGACCAATAGTGATAAGAAGAGCCTTTAATTACTTTGTGATTAAAGTAGTCTTAAATTTTTCATATAATACAAGAGTTTGAAGCTTTAATTTTTATCTACAGCCCACCTTATCTTTACTACTTAAGCTAACCACAAATAGGTAAAGTGCTCTTAATTGTTTGTGTCGCTAGCTTTGTAATACGCTTTGTGCATTGCCTCATTGGCAAAGTTGCTCCTTGGTTCGGATGTGGTGGTTGATTCAATGTTATAGGAGTGGTTTCACCCCCATTCAAATATTAAATAATAGTAATAATAATAATAAATCTCATAAAAAGGTTTTGCGTAAACTGTCAATAGTCTATCAAATTATAAAGCATGTGGCTTTGACCTACTACAAGTTTTATTTGCGGATGGTGGCATAAATATAAGTTAAAAGGTTAATTAGAAGTAGTTTATCATTAAAAAAATTGACGTGTTTGATTGAAGTAAAAAGGTTTATCATGGTCAACGTCAACAGTCGATCTTTGTTTTATTTATCGCTCAGAGAAAACAATAGCAGAATGCATGAACTCGTGGGTTTTGGATGCCAGCAATAAACTGAAAATGACCTGTCAGTAGTTTTAAATGTGAAGATACTGACTGACCATTCATGACAAGACACGTGGATAATTTTTAAATGCATGCCCAAAAGAACGGTAATTATATCCGAGGCGTGGTTTGTTTGTTAAGGAAAAAATCTTTCATTTCGGGGCTGCATGAGATGAGAGGATATTGATGTCAGATGTAATCACTGAAGATGAATAAGGCTTATCTACTTAAATATGACACTGCTCAAAACGCATGTGCCATACTGTTGAAGTACCTTCAAGTGAACGGCTATTCTGCTGTTCTTCCCTTTCTCGTGATCTCTTCTGGTGGGGATGGAAATGATCATTAATTAGAATGACTGAATGAAAAAGATCCTCTGCTTGAGAACTTTTTATGGCAGTTTATTATCGGTGAAATTGGAGGAGAGGGAGGGGATGAATTATAATTAGCTTACCCTGTAATAAATTATCTTTAGCGCTTAGTTAACGTGTATCGCGACAAATTAAGTGCGATTATGGCCCCTTACAGAAAGTACTGCAAAACAATTCCTATGCCCAGTACCCGATTCTTTATTTAATCCCTACTCATTGACTCTCCTTGTGAGGCCGAACCCAAATATATTGAAGATGATTGAAAAATGCTAGGTTGTTATATTTCAGAAATTTCCAACAATCATGTTCGTTACACTAATTGACATCAAATCCAGGGTCAACGTGTAAATACTGAACAGACAAAAACTAGAGTGGTCAATTAAGAGAGTTTAAACTTTAAACCGGTTGGCCTTTCTAAGTTTAATTATACCTCAGAACTCCATTTTGCTTTGACCGCCAGGGAGTCCTATTTTTTTTTCCATTTTTCAAATTAAAAATTTAAAAAGCATATTTAAAATATCAAAAAAATTATTATACATCACATTAAATCTAAAAAAATAAATTTAAATTAATCCACACAACAAATTTAAATTTAATAAAAAATAACAACACCCTAAGATCAACCTGACAATTAGATTTTGTTAGGAATATTAACTAATTGTTGAAAATTTTTATTGATATTAACATTAATATAATTTAATCATTTTCGTAAAACCTAAGGTTTATTTTTAAGTTTAAAAGGATCAATTTATCATTTTACTAAGAGCTCAACCCTAAATTTTTCTGAAAAGAGCCGGCCGCAGGTTCAGCTAGTTAGCCTCTTGAAAAAACTGGTGCAAGCACAAGATTGCCGATATTGCGTGTATATTCAGAATTAATCGCCACCACACCGTAACTCGGAAATTACAAGAGGACCGGAAAAGAATCTTTGAAAGTTTTGAATAACGAGGAGTTTCGAAGCATCATCTCGCAACGGACACTACTTTGATTCCTCCTTTTCTCACCCTGCAGTACTAGTTTACGGGAATCTTTAAGGTCGATGCAGTGGTTTCGGGCTCCTGGAAAGCGACCTAAAGGAGAACTACTTTTAAAGCCCTAAACATAAGGGGTTTGTGCCAGCGTCTCAGAAAATTAACAATTCCTTTCAAAATAAGAACCCTAAAGCCATGGTCAGATTCAGATGGGCAAAATATCCTCCGTGAAAATATACTTCTGGTTCTGAAAACAAACGCCTCCTTCCCCACTGAGAAATTACCACCACATCATCATGTGATTCACATATATTTGGGGGGCAAAAAATTATCAAAAGAAAGAAAAGAGAAAAAAAAAATCGGAACAAGAAAGGTACCCCTAGAATGCCGAAGACAACAGAGAACCGCGAATCCAGCGTGTTTCCACGAGGTAAGATAAAGCCCTTATAGAATCAGAATTCGGTACTTCAATATATTGCTGAAGGAAACCCCAGATGGTTCAATGAGGTAGGTAAAAATGGAACCTTAGAATGTACACACTGTTTTCGAGTACCTGATCCAATCTTAAGAAGAATCAATGAATCGGCAGAACATACGGGGACTGTATCTTAAGTAGCGAAGTTTCTGCTTCACCACCTAGTTTGAAAAACTATACGATGAGATCAAACCCTAGAACTCGTTTTCCGGGTTCCCATAAACTTCGATTTGGAAAAAAAATTTAAGAGAAAAGAACTACTGTGAGGAATCTAAAAAAGAGAGGAGAAGAATAAAGCAGATCTGGAAACCAGATGCATCGGGAAATCATAAAATACGGAGATCTAGCTAGCTGCCAATTAGGGTGGAGAAGGAGAAGCCCTAGGGATAGGACGGAAAGATGAGGACTGAACAGTAAGTGGGGGTGTAGATGCGAAACCCAGGGAGAAGAGGATAATGGGAAAGGGTTAGTTTTGACTGATTGGACTGTGGGTACAAAGTGGTCGTGGAGTGGTGTAGCCGTCTAAGGGAAAGGTAGGGAGGCAGTGCAGCCATCACACCTCACAAGATAAGAAAACGACCCCAACTTTTGGGTGGGCTCAACCCCATTATTATTAGGGCAACAAAAATAATTGCACCAGTCAAAAAACTACAGCTCCTCATGATTAACATCAACCCCGTGTCACGGTCAATTATTACTAATTACAGCCAATAAAAAAGGATGGTATTAATAGAACTATGTTTTTTCACCGACACGCACTCTGGCACTTGGGGTGAAAGAAGGCCTACGACGCGCCCAACTCAACCCATTTAATTAAATAATAGACTGATCTATTTATATTTTATATATATTATTATGATTTAATATATTATATATACATTATTACTTTCATTATTTAGTTTTTAATTAAATTTTTTATTTTTAATTATGTTTTCAATTAGATAGAAATTATATATTAATTTTAATTTAACTTAATATTATTAGTTTATTATTGCATTGTATTGTAATTATTAGCAAGTCTTCTTAGTCATTATATATTACAATTCAAAAATCAGGTAATCTATATCTAAACTTCAATAATATTAAAGCATATTTAATATCTTTAAAATTAATGTGTAAATCTATTTAAAAAATTACATTTAAATGGGTTTTTAAATATTTTTAAAGGTTTAGGTCTCTGACCTACTCCCTTTGTTTCTATAATCATGAAAAAAAATTATATCACATAGTTTAAAAAATTAATTAATTATAATAATTATATTTAAAAATGAAAAAAATAAACTAAAATGTCCTGTGTTAATAAATATAACTGTATGTTAATTGTTTTTTATTAGCATAAATTATGTGAGGTAATTTAAAAAATGTGTAATAAATTTTTATTGAAATAAATAATTTTTTATAAAAAAATACAAATTAAAAGTAATAGTTTCTCTAACAACAAAAAATGAAAAGAGTGCTACACAAGCTTAATATTGCTTGATGAAATCCTAACTCATCCTAAACTATTTTCACCTTTATTTGTACCACAATTTGAAGAGTGTAATTTTTAGTAGTTTCACAGATAAAAAAGGAACAATGTTAAAAGTTATTTCACGAATTATTTGTAATCTTAATTGAACTTGTAATTAATTTAATAAACTCTATAAATTATAAATGCAAAGAATAAAAAAATAAGCTTTAATTTAGTTGTCATTAAAAAGTTAAAATGATTGTGATGTCTATCAGACAGAAGTCTCACAAAGTTATATACTCTTTAAAAAACAAACACATTAAGAGAGACAATTTCCATTTTTGGTCCAACGATGCTCAATATAAGTTAATTGCAGTAATGATTAACAATAAATTGTCATTGATGAAATGAGGGGATAAAAATGTATTAGCAAGATAAAAGGAAAAAAAATATTATAATATGATATATACTAGTCTTATTAAAACTTAACATAAATGAGGGAAATCACTTTTAAATCTTATTTCAAATGTATGCTAATTGTTCAAAAAAGAATAACAAAAGAAAAAATTATACTAGTCATATTAAAAAGTTGGAACTTGGGAAAGACTAGTCTAATTTGATATCATTAAATCACCCCAAAAAAACAAAAACATATCTCAATATTGAGAGACCAGGACTCCAGAAGGAGAAGAAAAACCTCTCGCTTGTAGAAAGAAAAGGATATTGGAATTACTTGTTATTAACAAGAAATTACATTTACGTGAAATAAATTAAAAAAAACTCTACAAATAAATAATAATTTTTATGTTTCTACCGAGATAAAAATCGGGCCAAAAAAGTCAGCAAAGATGTAGTCCACGGGGGGGGGGTAAATTTTGGAGAAATGACAATTAGGAATCCTGTGAGAAAATTAGTGACAATTATAAATTTTAAATTATTAAAATTTCAAAAAAGATTGTGATCCTTACTTATAATTAAAAATGTGAATGCTCACTAGAGAAACCTTCAAACCACAATTAGAATTATTTGTAATATGATTTGAAAATATATAAAAATTAATTGAGAATCATCTTTTTTGTCAAATATACAGATAAATCACCTGAAAAATTGAGTGGATATATATAAAATTATTTGTAACATTAGTTGAGAGTTTAAAAAGGTCAGCTGTAAATCACAATTAGCCAATTGCTTATGATTTTGTACTTTTAATATCTATTACTTGAAAAAATTATTAAATACACTTAAGATTATTTATATCATCAATTGAAAATTTAGGAAAGTCACTTAGAAAACTAACAAAAAACAATTAAAAATCTTTGTAACGTTGGCTCAGAATTTAATTTATTAAAGTTTGTTGTGAACATCAAGCCAATTAACAAAAGACAACATATTATAAGTAATAACCATGGTCTGTTATTGAAATTTCAAAAATTTGAAAACATTAATATTCATATTTTTTTAAGTATAATTATTATATTTATCTTTGCTATTTTTTCCCTATTAAAACTGGAAAATTTATTAAATGCTACACTATTTTTTAAATATGTATATTTAATAGGGTTAGAGTTGAAAACTTATTGATTTTTAAATAAAGTTAATGATATTTAATATTTTTCTTAATTTCAATGAAAATACTAGAAATGACTTATAAAAAGAATTAGAAAAAGTGCTACATTTGTAATTGTTAGAAAGAAAATAAAGCACACATCTCCAAATTGGTAATTTAAATATGTGTGTGTGATATAATTCTAACATAAAACTCTGTGGGGACCATATTTATTTGAATTTAAAACCCTCCAAATATCTAAAATTTTATTTAAATTAATATCAAAATTTTCATACCTCACTTGTTTATTATATTACTTCACTTATTATACTTACAAAATGTTGTTTCATTGCCTTATTTGACTTGTTTTTATTTTAAGTGTTTAAATTATCTTAATACAATTTATTAATTCCTATAATGTATATTATTTTTTTACTTACAGATTTTTATTAATTGTCTTATTTCACTTATTCATTATCATACTTTCACTTAATTTCATTATAAAAAAATGAACAAATGAAATAAGACAAGTAATAATATTTCATGAATAAATAAATAAGTGAGGTAAGATAGTTTTGATATTAATTTAAGGAAGACAATTTTGACATTTTTCTTAAAAATTTAGTATCAAATCAAAATTCCTAAACTACAATGAAATCTTAAAAATTTAAGAGCTTTGAATTTAAATAATATAATATACACGTCTTTATTGAAATCATCCCTTAATTCCTTTCATTATTACAGGATATCATTGAATATGTAGGTACTACACTATAATAAATTCTCAAAATTAATGCGTCATCAAAAAAATTATCATTGTTAATGTACTAATAACATAATAATAATGCAAGCCACAATTTAACATTTTAAGAAGTAATAATTTAATAATTTAAAAACTTATTATGAAAATTTTACATCTAAATTATTTTATAAAAAGTTGAAAGGCATATTAATTTTATCAATAAAAATTACATTTCTTTTTTTTTATGAAAGAGAAACTACATTTCATCAGATCATGAAACTCACACGTAATATAAATTTCAATTTAATTTTAATTAAAAATATAACTCTAAATTATTTGCACTATTCGTCCATCTTCATCTTTTATTCACATGCTTATCACAATCCCAAAAATTCCACCCCTGCTAAATCAAGCCCTCAGTCCTTTAAAACTACTTCGAAATTTGAAAGCTTGGACTATGCATATATGTAATTAAATAATAATAATAACAATAAAAGCAACGGGGTTCGCGATTTATATATTTTTAAAAACATTCAAAAAAATTTAATTTATTTTTTCCCCTCACTCTTGGTGCAATTTATGCCCATGAAAATGACTTTATAAACATGAAAGTGATCCTCTGTGATCCATATTCCATGTGCGCGCGCGCATGAAGTTTTTTTCAAGGGAGATTCTATCCTTCTAGTGTGAATCATTCATGTGACAGGCAGTATCAGTTAAAATTCGACCTCATGCACCGAAGCCCCATCATATTTTTCCCTTTCATTTCCTGAAGATGAAACTATCATAAAATATATAAATTAAAAATATTAAAGTATATTTGTATCCTTCTAAGTTTAAATAAGATCTCAGTTTAATCAATTAATTTTATAAAATATTTTTTTATTATTATACTCCCTCCATTTAAAAATGTAAAGCATTTTTGAAGAAATTAGATGTTAAAAAATGTAAAGCATTTTTAATCATTCAAGGTGTAATCATTTTTTTTTTAAAAGTGCCTCTATTAATAATAACTTTATATTTATTGTAAAGTGTGTAATAGAAATAAATATAAAAAAATAGAATTAGTTAAAAAATAGTTAACTATTTTGTTGAGGTGTAAAATTTAATTAAAAATACCTTATATTTTTAAACGGATAGAGTAACTCCTAACACTATTAGTTTTAAGCAATTATTTTTCATACCAATCAATGTTATTTTAAAATAAACTAAACTTAACATGTTAACATTTAAAAATTTTTTATTTATAAAATTCCTGGTATTAGGGTTACAAGACTAAAATGACACTTTATGAAATTAAATGATCAACATAAAACTTTGTATAAAATTAAAAAACTAAATGTATACTTTAACCAGTTAATTTTTTTTTTGTATACTCAAAATATCAATTTCTCTTAATTTATAAAAATTAAAATTCAAACAATAATTTATTATATATTAAAAATTGTTTTGCCCATACATATTAAATACAAAAATGATTACTTATTTATCTTAAAATGTGTTATCCCTAGGTACATTTGCACGTTTTCTTTGATTAATATGTGGGAAAATTTTAAAACCAAGTTAAAAATATACTAAGTTCTTCCCCCCTAATTAATTGAACAAAAAATTTGCCCCCAGTAAATATTCATGAATGCATTATTAATTATCATGTGTAAATGAAAATCTAAGCAGCAATTTTTATTTTGGAATACTTTACACTTATCATAAGGGCAATTTTTTAATATACATTAGGGCATTAATATGTATATTAAAAAGGATTAATGAGCAATATACCACATAAATTATTGAGTGAATAGAATCATGAATCTTAAGCTCGTGAAATGTATAAATTTTTTTCAACTTTTAAATTTTAAGCACTTAAAACCTCACACTTAAGTTTTAAAAAATGATAATTACTTTTAGATTGAGAGTCCACTCACATGTTAATGTTACTTTTAACTACCTTACTATAATCAAGGAGATATAGTTGGATCATTAGTTTTATTTAAAAAAGAAAAACATTGAATTTACCTATATTAAATGCTTAGTATTTAAAAGATAATTTTTCTTTTATAACTTTATTAAATCATATTTAATAGATAATTTCTCTTTTATATATAACCTTTGCTTTATTTATAAAAAAATTTAAGAGTAAAATAAAAAATAATTAATGATCCACTTTTCTTGGGGGAAAAATCTTATCGAGTAGACCATCAATTACTTATATAAAGTGATTCAAATATAAGATTAGTATTAATACTATTTAAAAATTACATGTATTGCCATTCTTACAATTTTTCAAATTTTCTTTCAAGTATACAAGTTAAAAAAAACCCTAAAAAAATATACATTCTTTAAAAAAGTTCAATGGAGTTACTGTTTAAGAATTTGTTGATGAATAGTAAATCCCATTAAACTTTACAACAATTGATAGATAATTTAACATTTTTTACCACGTGTATATTAAAAATAAAAAATAATTTATTATTTGAAGATATTATTTGTGTCATGTTTATTATTTTTGAACATGAATCTTACATCTATAATTATTTCTTCTTTTTTTTTTTTCAAAACATGGGTCTCACATGATCTTCAAACATATAGAATTTTTTTAAAAAAAATTGTTACTGTTATCCAACTATAGATTAACAGTAATAAATGACAGATTTTACAACATATAAGGATAAGAATAAGAATAAGAAAACAAGAAATATGTAAGAATATATAAGATATAAAGATCTTCATCTCTTTCACCAAAAAAAAAAAAAAAAAGGTCTTCTCAGATAAGAATCGCAGCAACTTCTCTCGCAGACTCACACGAGGATTGTACACAACCCAGACACAGCTACATATGCACGGATACCAACTAATTCCGCTTGAATCGGAGGGAAGTTATTTCAAGTGTTATCAAGTTAATTGTTCACTCCTTAAGGTCAATCAGAACCAAAACAGAAAAAAGCATCCACAATGTTCATGTATGCACCAGCAAGCAATCAAATCGCGAAAAAGAAATTGCCAAGAAGCAAAAGTATGTTGGCTCTTTCTCAAACCACTAGTTATTAGTGAAACATTGCGTTTTTCAGATGGAGAGATCATTAAGAACTGACCTGAGAGGCTTTAGGCACGTTCTCTCTGCTCGTCACACTTTCCTGCAAACTCCACACGAAAAGAGCGTATCAATCCAAACGGTCGAGCGGTTGAGGGTTGGGGCCGACGGGCGTAAAGAAGAAACAACGAACGAACCTCATCACGACATTTATCATTTAATTTGTATAAAAAGTAAACAATTAAGTGATTAAATGAATAAACGAATTACATGAGTAAGTGAATTAAATGAATAATCACTCCATGTCCCCATTCGGTATGACAAGATTCCGAGGAAAATGGAAAAGGATCAACGGAAATTGAGGGGATCGGAGCGAAATCGGTTTTTGGAGGAATGCGCCATAAATAATCATGAGTAGTGGCACTTTCCGTTGTGTTTTGATTGGAGGAAGCTGAAGCCTGAAGCGAGATAGGGTTTCGCAGAAGAAGCAACTGCAGCATTAGACTAGGTATAAAGACTATTCCATCTGCAATAATATTTATGGCTACCGATAGTGCGGCGTCGCAAAGATCATTGACTAACAGTAACTTCCAGTAATAGATGGAGAGAAGAGAGAGAGAGTGGGTGTGTGTGCCTTGAATCGAATGGTCGTTACCTCGGCATGCGTGACTTCCTCGCTCTGCTTCACTGCCTTCAAAATTTGAGATGCAGAGACAAAGCAGCTTTGGAAGCCCCCAATCCCAAACCATCACACACGCCCACAGGCGACAGCCACGCCTTTCACATCCTCCGCATTTCCGCATTAATGAATTGGCGCCCCTTTCCCGTCCATCTATGCCGTTAAAAAAAACCAAAAAAAAAAAATCTGGTGTAAAATAGTAAACTTACAAAAATGAATAAGAAAACTCCATTAAATAGGTTAACCAGTGATGGAATTTTTTTATTATTGTTTACATATGTTCTTCTATTTTAGATGATCATATTTAAATATGATCAAATATTAAAATAAGTATTTTTTAATAAGAATTTAAATGTTACTTTATCACATTATAAGGACTTTTTCATTGATATTTTTATTTGAACTTTACAATATTTAAATTTAACATAAAAATATTAAATATCATATAATTATATGAATATATATATTATATTTATCATTAAAGTTAGATAATATTTTATGGGCGGAAATGACATAGTTATAGTTTATTCACATTCAATAAAAGATAATATAGTTTTTAAATTGGGAATTAAAGCTTTAAAATCAACAAAATTATTTGCAGAAGGAACAGGCTTAAATTTAAAATATTTTTGAAAAATTTAAAATAGCAAGTAGGCTCGGTAACTGTGGACCTTAAAACAAAAATGAATATATGTTGCGCATGTTACCAAAAGGAAAATTCAATGCATCGATCAAATTCAAAAGTTAATATCAGGTACATCACATGTAATACTTGAATGGAGGCTTTAAGCTAATAGAAAAACTCATATAGTTTATATAACCTACCTTAAAAAAATGATATGTGTATATATGCATAATATCATAAAAATTCTAATAAGTCTCCATATCTTTAAGTGATCAGTAATCTGACTTATTTCTTATCCACTGCGCAATAGACCGACCCACACTAAAGACGACAAATGGTCACATGCATACACACACACACACCTATAGAATCAGGTCACCAACACCACTCTCCGTTCACCAACAATGGTCCGACTCGGGAGACAATGAGATGGGAAGCCGAATATTTGCCAATAATTTTTTTAGAGTTGAGGAGGCAAAATGCTCATAAAGTATTTTGTAAGGAATTGCATGCCTCCTAGCTAGACTACATTAATGTAATTTTGTCAATAAATCAGAGCAAATGTTCAAAAATCTGCAATCCATAATGGAAGTTAGATGTTTGTTAAACAAGTGGCGTGGATCTCACATGCTATGTCAAGTGTAAATGGATTGATGAGGAAGAGGAAATTAAGTACAATTTTGGCATAAAGTACAATTTTGCATGTTAGTAATAAAAAAAGGTGCAAACAATTTCAATTTGTAATATAGGCGCATTTTGGCAACCATTGACGATGAATGTCAAAATGGTTGAAATTTTATTTGACCTGAAATACAAAATCGAAAATACACCGGTCCATTTTTTTTTTCCCCGTATGTGATAGAAACTTATACATGGTATTCTACTTTGTTACATATCACAATTAGATAAAACGCACTTCAATTTACAATTCATTTGGATTTTTGAAGCTACCCCAACTCCGTATTCTATTTTCTCTGTTATTTAAATTAGTTTAAACACCCTCCACCGGGGACGGACACAAGGGAGGGCATGCAGGCTCCCCCCCCCCCCCCCAAAAAAAATCACAAATACTAATTTTTGTTTGTAAAATATGCAAAAATTATTCCTCTCCTCCACTTTCTTGTAATGTTTCATTTTTGGCCGCCCCTCATATGTCAACTTCTGGATCCGTCCCTGCTCTTCACCTGCTGCATCCCCCAGGAGCACTTCTTGACCTTTTTCTAATTGAGGGGTCAAACCCCTTAAATAGAGGTCGATGCATAAGAAAGGGGTAAGAGAGTGAGAGAATGAGAAGTAAATAATTAAATTTAGCTTTTAAATGGGGTTTGAATTAAAGTATATTTACGTGACTGCGAAATGCAACATAATTTCATAATGTATTGTGTCTAAAGTTTCTGCTAGTTAGGATAGGACAGACTTAAACATGTGTATCTCTACACTTGTACACCATGTCATATAAAATTTCATTTTTTGTGGTTACCGACAATGTTTTCCCGCGTTCACCTCTGTTACATATTGTAATTTTTTTTGCATTGTTTGTTAGGGTTAATTAGCAAAATTACACCATTACATTTGAGGATTTTCACCCTTTTCTGGAGTTGACGAGCAAAATTGCGTCAACCTATTTTTGGGCAAACATCGAAGATCGGTGACCTTGAATGAATACAAGTATTTTGTACATACAGGAGTAATTTAGTAATGTAATTTGCGTTGGATGAGTTTGTGACTATACTTAGCCCATTCTTGTTTTAAAATATCCATAAAAGATTTCAAAAGGAATTTAATTTTTCTTTTAAAAAAGACGATGAATAAATCCAGTACTTGCTTCTTCTTCTTTTTTTTGCAAAAATCTAGTACTTGCTAAAACAATAAATTTATTTGTCAATTTTGTAACTCTTACTTGTTAGAGATCCTTTTAAAAAATTAATCTTTTCCGAGGACCCTTTATTGACATTCTCCTCTAATTATTTCTTACCGTAATTGTACTTGTTTAAAGGCTCTTTAAGTCGAAAATATATATTAAAAAAAAAATCTCTTTCGATCAAGTAAAATAGAATAACTTTAAATAATATATACTTATTCAGTTAACTGTACTGAAATCATTAACTGTTTAAAAATAAGCTTTATATTTAATAAGATAAGATGGATAAGAGGGACTTATTCAAGTCATGCTAGATTGGGACTATTTAGGAATGAATGCTCGCAAATTTCGATCAAACACAGTAGACCCCAAATGGCTGGAGAGATTCGGTCTAATTTTAGATTAAATAAGGTACACTTATCCACACAATATTGAAAGTCATGGCGCCTCGCATCGCATTTTCCAACCCAGATAAGGCGTGTTTTCTATATCAGTTGCTGAAGCACACTGTAGTTCAGTGCCTCTTGTGTCGATAGCTGTGTATTGTGTCTCCCTACCTTTATGGCTCAGCAATGAGCCTTTTGTTCACGTTTTCCAGAGTCATAGCCATCTTGGAACAATCCCTTTCATGTTCCCCTTTTCAGCATTTGAAGCCCATAAAATCACCCCTCAGGATCACGTGAGGCACTTGACTGAATTCAATTCCTCATCAATATCTTCCATTCTTTTTATATATTCCATCAATTAAATCTATCAAAGAATCTTTTTGTCTTTGTCATGAATATGCCCAGAAACTTATCATCATCTCCAAGCACAGGTCATCTATATACAGCCAAAGCACTTTAATGTTTCAGATACTTGAGTTGATTCTCTTCCTTCGGCATTGAACCAGACCTTAAACTCCAGTGTCATTTATTCAGTGAAACAGATCCTGAACACGCACGACACGGAGAAGCTGAGAAAAAGGAAGAAATGGAATAATTAAAGATGAGTGGCAAAGTTTCTGGTTACATGTTTATGGGTGCTAAACAACAGCCTAAGCAATTCTGAGGGCCCCACTGCAAGAGGAAGAGCTTCGGGCTACATATTGATTTTTTTGACCCTGAGGAATGCTTTACAGACCTAAATCTACCATTGAAGGCAACACAGAACAAAGCTAGTAGCTGAGCCGAGATAGCTCTAAGACTTGGGATAGTGGTTAGTACATCCCTATACTATAACCCTACCTGGTGTTTTCTGGCTGAGCAGAGAACTTTTAGCACGAGAAGCGCTACATAAAGAACTAATGGTTAAATCCTTTTTCAGACATCCGTTTAAAGAAAATATTTGAGGGCAGAGATCTTAACCACTGGGGATCAAGGTCCATAAATCGGCCAAAGTACCACCAGTCTTTAATGTCCTTCTTGTATAATAAAAACACCCACCATCTCCAAAGAAAAAGAGCTGCAAGATACTATTCTCAGGATTAAATCTGCTGCGATCCACGTCAGAAGCCTACCCTGCTTAACAAGAACTTCCTACTCTGTTCAAGTTGAAGGGCTAGGTTGCGTACTGAATCCCGATCTTCTAGATATCCCATGATCTGCGATGTTCAGTAAATGTCTTTCTAGAATCTTAATGAACCTGTGTGGATTGAATCAATAATTTCAACTATAATCACCATCACTATTATTAATAGGAAACTAATCATTCTGAAAACTAATGATTCTGCTTTGCTAAGTGATGTTTTCCAAATTCAAAATGTCAATATAGAGCAACGATTTGTGTGCACGGAAAAAAATTAGAGGTGATATGAAAGGATGAAATTGATTTCAATTTGGTCTTTTTTTCTCAGTCCTGCATTTCGGCCAACAATGTCTACGGTAAATGCACTAACAAGTTATTCCAAGCTATTATCACCATTTATATGTGGATTACTTTCTCCCATCTGGTTCTGGCTTTTAACCACAAAGTTTTTTCTTTTTGGGCCAAAACCACAAAGTCGTTCTTTTTAAACTCTTCCACCCTGAAAAGCTATTGTAGATTATTCTCTTATTGGAAAATCTTGAGAACGAAGGAGATTGAGGATCAAGAACAAGACTAGGAACAATGACTGGTTTGTCATTTTCAAAATTAAGCTCCATATTGGAGCAGGCATTTGCCAATGGATCGAGCTAAAGTTGTGAATGAACCACACTAGAATCAGCAGTGACAGATCAGCCAACTTAGGGCCAGTAAAATTGTGACCATCATGGGTCTGGCCCAATTGCACTAAGGAAAAATTCAGCAGTATTATCTAGTCTTCAATCTTTGATATATTTTCTTTACTAATTTACAATTAACTTTATGATCGAAATAATTACAGGATTAATCCAAGTAAATTATCAAGTTTATAAAATTTACATAAATAGAATCCTAAGTTTCAAAACTTAACATGTTTAAAAAATCACTTTATAAACAAAAATTAAATAAAAACATGTGTATAGAAGCATAGACTTCATACAAGGTAAGATAAGATAACATACAAATGGGATCAAAAAATAAAATAATGATTCTAAAACAATTACGCTACAACATAAAATTGTATGCTGTGACATAAAATGTAGAAGCCCATGTAACAGATTTTTTGACCGAACTTCCAACGCGTCCCAATTCCTCGATTGATATCCAATTGAGGTGATTTCAATATCTACAAAAAGCTTTCTCTGAGCTCTAGCTAATGACACTAGTTCTCACATTCAAATCATTTCTTAGTCAAAAGTTCAATATCAAAATGCAAACTTACCTATCATGCTTTTAAAACATAATTAAGGTGTTCAAAATCACAACAAAGTGTCATAAGCTCACAACCACCCTTAGACCACACTCAATAGACTATATAGGATTCATGCAATGTACCATACTCAACTAAAAATACATATGTCACAAATTCATCACTCAACTCCATAACACATAAAACATGAGGGAGGAGGAATTTCTTATACAAGACAATCATTTTCATCTACTTGTTCCTACTTGTATAAGTAGTTTGGCCCTATATTAGGGTTTACAGTCAAAACTTACTAATCTAGGCACAAAATACACAAGTGTGAGACACTAACGATGCAAATAGTATAAAAATATTCACGGAAATCTTAATTGGCAAGTTAACAATCTTAATACACATAAAACAACATAAAGATGAATATAAAGGATTACTTTACAATCCTATGCCTCAGCATGTTTTCTCAGTCTTAATTCGATGAGCTAGGTCTTGACAAAATTGAGAATTGAGAAGTGAATACAATCACTTAGTAACCAAGTTTCACTTGACTTATACAGTTGCATATCAATTGAAAACAAATGCAATTGATAATAAACACACGCATAAAGCATATATGACAACGGATAATTTTGGTCATAATAATAACAACCATGTGATTAGATTTCAAATACATAATCATATACATATTAATAATGCACAACTTGGGGTTACAATAATACCAACCATGCGTCTCTAATCTGCACCGGATCATAATACTAATAACTATGTGGCCGAGACTAAATGCATGATTATATGCCAGCCTTATACCCTCCTGTTAACTCTAACATGAAATTGGTGGGTATTTGATAACTATGTCCTTCACAGACTAACTTAACCTTCCACTTGTAAGGAGCTATCAAGCTAGGGTTAACTCACTCACTTATGTAATTTGATTCTTTAATACTAACAATCATGGGATGTTGTTCCCTAATCCAGCTTTGTTTTAAATCGGTAGAGACTAGTTAGGTTTAAGTCCCTCATAGAATAAGTGAAAAGGTCCCGAATCAATCATAGAATAAAAGCTACCTCCTAATTTCAATAATCGATGCTAAGGCAAGCTCCTGATTCCAACGATCGTTACCAATATAACATAAATTTAATCAACTACTCCTCTCCCTAAGTGAACTCTCGCCAATGATTATGTTATGCATGTATGTCATATATGTATATGCATTTTAATTAACCATTCATATCATGAATCTATATATCCATGCTCACAACCAACTCACTGCACATACCAACTAGTATATAATCACGTTTTCTCATTCATCATCACTAGTAGCATGTATATGAATATACATATAATTTACAACAATAATACATCACCAACCATGCTAAATTTGCATCATGAGTTTAAAAATATTAAGCATATTTCAAATCAACCATTTTAACAAATAATCAATTAACATTTGATTATATAAACTAAGTTTCTCTCGATTACATCAAATCTTTGAGGGGTCAAAAGTTTATCCCTCAATAAAAGTTTTTCACAAGCTATACTAAAGTTTGAATAGTGTATAAGATGATTCATTTACAATTATTTATACCATTTATCATTAAAATCATCATAAACACTTTTCCAACTTCCATTAATCAACACTTTAATTACCCAAAATTTTAATAGCTTGTACTTAAGCATAACCATTAGGTTTATTAACTTCCATTAACTCCATTTACCTTCCACTAACTTAAATAATTACTAATATAACATCAAACAATCCAAAATCACACTTTGATAGGGTTCATCCAAAATGGATGACTCAAATTTACAACCTTGTAAAAACGTCTAAATTATGTATAAAATATTTAAACAACTCCTATTAGTCCCATTTAAATTAATGAATTTGAACCTGTAGCCTTAAATTTGAAAATCATCATTTCCCAACTTTAAATCTCACTTACAAAATGTGTAGAGAAAGAAGAAGAGATAAAGAAGGCATACCTAGGTGAAACCAAGCTTTAAACACCTTCAAAATATTCAAGAATTGATGTCCTAACAGAGAAAATACTCTCTTAGTTGCCCCCTTCTATTTCACGTCTCACTCTTTGTTTTTCGAATTGATTTCGCATTTTAGAAAAAAAAATTGGTTGAGGAAATTATACTGTAGCATAAATTTTTATGCTGTAGCATAACGCACAATAAGCTAAAAATTAATTTCTCTCTACAATTTGAACTCGGGTGACCCAATTCACTTTCGAATTCAATTCAAAAGCTAAAACCAAATTTAATAGCTATCTCTAACTATTCTCAAATCCTATTATACTTAAATTTTTATAATTACCTTTCATTAGATTAATAAATTATAGAAAAAATTTTGGAATGTTACATTTAATAGATAAAGATGCAATCTCTAGAGATGTCTTCGAAGGAGGATGACCTTTTCTTAAGAACTAATAATTGGTATCCATTAAACATTAAGCAAAAGTTTTTTTTTTTGAAAAAGACACAATTAGCCTTAACTCTACTAGAAGTATAAATTGTGAGATTTGAAATAACTTCTATGATCATACGCTGCACTATTGCTGAAAGGGAAGTAGACAGAGTGAGCAGAATCGTAACCTCAACAAGTCGCCTATTTCCGGTCATTCTATTTCGCATACAAGTGACAAATTTCTAACCCATTTATAAACAACGATGCGATATATTAATTTCATTGAGGTTGACCTCTTATATTTGTGGGATATTTAAAAAAAATGGCAAATAAAGAATTAGTCAGAAGATAACATTGACTGTCTTAAATTCTTCCCTTTTTTGCGTGAAACTATCTTAAATTGTCCTTCAGTAAATCATCATCCATTCCATACATAACATTGAATGCTTATATTGAAGCGACTCATTATATTTGCAGTTGCATGTTTAGATGCCACTTGGTTCAGTAAGAAGCTCAAAAAGAATCAACACAACTATCTTTAAGTTCACCTTGTCGGGCATGTTTCCTATCCCTTTCTTTTTCCTCTTTTATTCTTTGGCATGGAATTTGAAATTACGAAGCTGCTCCAACATTTTGTGAAAATTGAGTGTACTCATTAAAGCAAAGGGCTAAAGAGTACAAGCAAGTCACAAAGGACCTGAATAAAGCCTCAGATCTCAAATGTGCATGCAGTAAGCATCCACCAAACACGTGACTTTCAGATCTATAAATCTGATGTGCTTCTAACTGCACTATCCACGCAATTTACACATCAACTGGCGATCAAAATCCAACTATATAATGGCAGACTTGTAGAGTTGTATTAGCTAACAAAAAAAGGACCGCATACACGTAGAACCCTTTTAACTTTGAGTTACTGCTAGAATTTTGGATTTTCCAATAATCTCTTTAAACCCAAAATGAAAAAGGAAAAGAAAATCAGACGTTAGTCATCATACCTCAAGAAAAATCCACATTAATCAATAACACGTACATGCTTAAAAAAGAAACGGCATAGAAATTAAAGGCATGCCATCTTGAAGCTATATTAGGGATATGTAGTCTCGCAGTGAATGAAAAGGTTGGAAACCAGAATACTGACTTTGCAAAACATAGCCAAACCAGCTCAGTTAGCATATGGATCTGTTTACTATTCTATTGTCATGCCAACCTTCAGCACCACTATATTGGGCAATAGGAAATGCAATTTTTCGAAATGAAGTCTTCTGTGCCTTCTCCATCCAATAGTAAATACGACAAATATAACATTCTAGACCTTCAGAGGAGCAGCCTGGTGCAAGAATCTCCCGCTATGTGCTGGCCCCCACTTTAGGTCTAAAGCAATCAGTCTTACCTTGTGTTTTTGCAAAGGTTGTTGTCACCCCTAAAACATTCTAGAGCCATTCCAACATGTGCCTGCCCTTGAGAATACAATTTTAACCTCATAACTGGTCATTTGCTCTTATTACCAGCGACAACTCTCAAGGAAGCTATTCTTTTCACTCAAGAATGAATTAATGTGTTGTGGTAATTTCTTCAAAATGAGCAGGATATTCCAGTGATCATGTGCAAATTTGGTGCAAAATTAGTTCAACTTCTTAAGTATTTCTACTCTACATACAATTGTTGTACTCAAATCAGCTACAGTTGGAGCAAATTTTGTGAGAAGGGAAGGCCGGACGAACATAATGAGCACTTCGGCTAAGCTCTTTCTGAAAACATTCATCATAAAGGTCAGAATATATACTTAATTTAATGCCGTGAGGACCTACTGGAATCAAATGCAAAACCTCCATGAGAAATGCAAGCAGGAGACTACGTTCCAAGCTGTTAAATGTCAAGTAAATAACTAAGTTCATGAAGAAGAAAGAGTACAGACAGCAACTACAACCTCACGAGTAAATTTGGAAGTTGGAACCAATCTCCAGCGCCATAGTTTCGAAGTCAGTGTTCATGTACCTGCCAATTCCCTGCGGAGATAGGCATCACCTTAACATTTGATTGGGTGATCTCTTAACTTCAACGCGAGATCAACACTACAAAACCTTCTTTATAACTTTGCGCTATAGCAGATAGTAATTTAAAAACCATTACATAAAATCCTAACCACGATTTACTTCTAACAAGTTACGTAAAATGTGGAAGACGAATCCATAACCAATACGCCTCAACAAGTCGATGGAATGCTAAAATAGGTTTCGGAGATTAGCAAAATTGTCTACCTTTCTTTACCTGAATAGCTGAATTCAAACAGAGTGATATATGTAAACCCCATAATTCCAACTTAGATGCCTCCACTTGTAGGAAGATTGAGGCACCAAGAACAGAGGAGCAAGGTGTCAAGAGTGTGTAATAAACAAACTTCAGACTTCAGAGAGGACTTTATTCTCAGGGAAGGAATTCACTAAAATTAAAAATGAAAAAAATATCAATCAAAAATTATTTATTATCAAAATTAAAATGAATACTTATTTATATCAATTAATTTTTTATTAATAAATATTTATTTAAATTTTAACATTTCATTTTAAATTAATAATTATTTATTTAAATTTTAACAATAATTAATTTTTAATTGATATAAATTTTTTTAACAATTCTTTATCATTATTTTTTCATTGAAAATAGCATTTCTCATCACAGCATTGTTCGATAAAGAAACTCTTCTGCTGTGAAATAAACTCTTCACGTTTTTTATAAAATATGATGTAATCACTTTATATCGCAATTTATATTTCATATCAAAATACTGTTTTCTTTTTTACGTGAATAGAACAAACGGTACTTCAATGAGACAAAAAAATATTCTTCCGCACTATGTTGAATGTAGTTTCACTTTACATGATTTTGATTTTGAGTGATTCTGCTTAGGTTGGTCAACTGGCGGCGAGGGCCTTCTATGATTAGTTGATAACCTAACAAGTGAGGGAGATAACCGAGCCAAAATGCGTCGAAGTAACGATATTTTCGCTTGTGAAGACCAGCTTTCGGTCCCTTTGTTGAAAGTATCACAGCAGAAAGCGAGATTTGTAATTATTAAACAAACTAAACAGGTAAGAATGAAAGATTTTGTGAATTTGATGGGAAGAAAAGCCCTAGAAACATAAAAATTCGTCATGGAAGCCGGTAATGAGAGCCTCGCCAGTTGATTGACAAAGGACATCAAATTACACACAAGACAGATCTATTGATCAAGCTCCTGAGAGTGAGAGGTAATTATTTGGCTCTGTCTATGCAGCATTATTTTGGCGTATTCTTGTTGACAGTTCTAGGCCAATAAACACAAGTAGATGTTTCCCTGGGCAATATTCTGATTTATGAATTATGATATAACCAGGAAGCACAATAATAACTTCTCCGAAGTCGAACAAGTTGCAGGGTGAAGTATCAAGTCTTTACATGTATGTCTACTGTACATCTAATAATCACTTTTGTCTAATGTAACTAATTGCCCTATTGGATCTTTCTTTCTCAACAACAACCTCCCTGTTGATGAAAGCAGGACACTAATATCACCCTACAGTATTTCAAGTTCGATATTATATTTTTACTTTAAATGCCCACTTTTGTCTATGTGGATTGCTGTTTATCCATGCCTTTAAAACTATTTATTTTTTGTTTCTTACTAGAAGCTTCCATTTCCAGGACTTCAGTCTCACTACATGTTAAATTGTCAAAAAGACCCTAAAATCCGATTTTGGATTATCGCTTGTCTAGTCTTTTAAACTCTTTGTTCGCAGAGCTAGAAGGATTCGAAACTAGTTTATATGTAAAATTTCAAATCACAGCTTAATGTTATGATTCTGTGTACAGTCATCTGCACCTTTGCTTGGATCACTTGATAGCATGTTTCTTTAAGCATGATAATCGATCTGCTTCTGCTGGTGTTTTGCAATATTTGTCAGCCTTTTTGAACCTTTCTAGATTTTAAAGAAGAATTAATTAAGTTTAGCTTATGTACGAGGCTTTCTTTTTACCAGTTTCTTTCTGTTTTCTTCCTTAAATTTAAAGTTCTTTTTTAACACAAGTGCTGCATACTAGGCTGCGTCATGGTTCAAATTTTTAAATTTCCAGAAGACAAAATGTGATTATTTTTATCACTTGTCACTGTTAATTTTAGTATCACTTGTTAGTGATAGTATAAAAGCGAGCACTTCTTTTCTTCATTTGTTATATGTTGTTTGGTTTTCTCACAGACAACAAGAGATTCCAAAACGTGTAGTGCTGCTGTAGCTGCTACCACTAGTGGTCAACAGGCAGCCAAAGAGGGATAAGAGAACGTAAGGTGCTCAAAGAAGAAGGTCAAGCAGCACAGGGATTCTTACTGTTATCTAGATTATGAACAGGTCAATCTCTTCTCACATTTTACAAAGGATGTAACTTAATAAATGATGCATTGGAGCAATATTATTTTGCAGAGTGACTCAACCATGCTTTTGAATCATTTGGCAACCAAATTCTGTGCCCTTCATTTCTAGAAATTTTTATGGTGGTTGTTCCAAATATTTGAAGCGAGTGGACACATTTCCATGTACATTGCACAAAGTTTAGGAACTGAATCGAATGTTCATAATTAGGAAACACTATGCTTTGCTGTAAATTTTATTATATATATATATATATATATTGGTATATTGATTAGGCATAGACCGCACTTCATGAAGTTGAAAGATGAATTAGAGAACAAGAAAACCATAAAGAATATGTATGCCAAAACTATAGAAATAGGATTGATACAAAACTTCAAATCGACTATAGTTAATATACTTTGAAGATGAGGACTTCCATTGTGAAAGTTGTACTGGGAGAGATGGAGATGATAGGCCACAGGATACAAAGTTAACAGATGTGATTCAAGAGATTTTTTTTTTTTTTGGGGGGGGGGGTTCCTAATCATGATTTTCCCTTGCTTTTTGTTTTCACTTTTGTTTGATGGACTTCATAGTTCATACAGTAAATAATCAGTGATTATCAACTTATCATTGTGTTTAGATTTGTTAATTTGATTATGGATTTTACTGTTGTCTGCTTAAGCCTGGAAACTTACTGATCGATATGATTTTTAGCAGAGGAAAATTTGCCTTGTAATTACTTGGTCATGGGATCTGTTCATAAATTTAATAAGCTGAGAGGAAAACGTGGAATGGTTTGTTAAATAAACCATTTGTAGGACCTATTTCATTCCACCTCATTAAAATCGCCATATGTCACTATCGCTTCAATAAAACTACTAGTCTGGTTCATTAAGATGACAGCTGGAGCAACAATTAATTTGACATTCTGATAATGAGATTTGTTATTCTTCTTTGGAGAAGGCTGTGTGGCCAAGACTGCTTAAACTTTTTTATATATACTTTAAATTGAAATATTAAATACACCAATACATATCTACACTGCATATTTGAACGAATTATGTTTAATTAATTAACAATGGCTCTTTTCATTGTCATGAAATTAACAGTATATGTATACAATTTTATCCCCAGGATTGACAATTTCAGGTATTTGTATGCATCAAACTGTGTTTTGCGTTCTTAGAATACTAAAATGTGTCATGGTTCATGCACTTCCAGATGTAACTGGAAGCAACAGTTGATACGTACAAAAAAAAAAATGGAAAGAATATAATGACAATGGGGTAGTCTAGCTTGGGATTTCTTGTTTCAGATTCTTGAACTTCATTCAGCAGCATTCTTAATTGCTTTAGACTTAGTTGAATTTGCATTGGATTATTTATTAACATCAATAAATTCTAGCTAGGTTACATCACAAGTCCACCGGGGCCCTCCATGAATTTGCCAGAGTGCTCAAGCTTGAGATCTCAGCCTTGGTTCTGTGTGTTCCTGGTAATGCCCATGTGAACTTTAAACTGGTTTTTGCTGATTTAAGTTTGTCAACACACAAATTCTAACTGATTCTATAACACCATCCGTAGCCACTGTTGTCCATGACAATTAATTGCAGGTGGTGACCTGACTGCTTTAGTTGTATCTGATTCAAACATGAAACAGGATCTAGTAATGCGTTCATACTATCAAGCGCAGCACTACATTTTAAATACTACTGTAAAACATCTCACATCCTGTTGTTTCACCTTATCTATATCATGTGGCTCGTGAAAGATTATACCTAGGCCCATGTGGAATGAAAAATATTACATTTGTACCACAGGAATTTGTGGTTTGAGTTGTTGAAAACTTGTAGCCAATCAACCAGGGGAAAAGTAAGACTCTTGGAAAGGTCATGCTGCACCATGCATGAGAATGTTTTGGTGTGATTTGAATGATTATGTTTGTACCTCTGGTTTTTGTGGGATAAACTGTGCAGGGCAAAAAAAAAAAAAAAAGACTCTTTGGGTGGTTATGCAGCATGCTGCACTAAGTTGGATGGTGGATGTGTTCATGGTTTTTTTTTTTAAAAAAAAAGATTATTGGTCTCCAGAAAAGAAAAGAAAGAGGAATTTGGTTGGGGTTGACTTTTAATGATGAGTTGGTAATAATCTATTTTCATGATACTGTACAGCCAACAACTCTATTTGAAACTTTGCATGACAGGACCCAGGAGGAGTGTCCAAAAGTAGTGCAAATTTTTATTGTGGGCACTATTCACCAATTGGTTAAACGCATTGGAAAGCTCCATGTGAAATTTTGCGCCCACCAATGGAGAAAATGGCGAATCCATGAACCATCCATCTACTTCTGCAATACCCCACTCACGGACTTCCTTCCCATTTTGCTATGGCCATCAAAAAAGTCATTGTCCATTTCTGTTAAAGCGGAAAGAAAAAGTAATAGTCAGCAATTGAGCCTGCTGCCATATTAAAAATTATTAAGATATTGAAATGTGAGTGAGCTTGAATTGGTATGGAATGTTTGTCGTTAAATAAAATTAAGTTTAATAAATAATAATTAATATATAATGAAGTAAAATGGTTCATAAATTTTGAATTTTGAAATTTTAAGTTAAGATATAAAAATCTTTCTCACACATGCGCAGAGTCAGATAACTAACTTGTTGCCAATGAAGCTTATAATTCCGGGCCACTTCAACGTGTAATTGGTCAAAAGACGATGGATTCCTTCAACAGGAATAACCTACCATTTGGAAGTTATATAGTTTCTCTGTCTCCTTTTCTGATAAAGATGGATTGGAATTTATCGCATCCTTTACTATGTAAGGTGGAGAAACTTGAGGTGAGGACATGCACTCTACAGAGGCAGCATGCTTCCGTTGTTCAATCGTCACGCAAATCAGCAAGTGATTAATAAGTAATTGATATTAATAAGCCAGTCAGAAATCTACTCTTACAAGGTATCTGTAGGAACAGCTAGGTTTCAAGACTTTCATCTATTCAATCTTACGCGTGAATCAAAGCAAGGGGGAAAAATATAAACTTTTCGTTTCAAAGAAGCCTGTGAAAGAGTGTAATTGAAGAAACTGGATAGTGTTTTTCTCCTATGCAACTTTATCAAGTTCCAATGCGTGAAATGGCAGTCTGTAGTTTAGATAATTAGAATAGATCATATGGTTTTTAATTTGACATTGATATATGCTTATTCAATGCCAGCTTGATAATGCCAAGTCAAACCCAATAGTTAAATGACTGTGAAACCCCAAAAGAGAAATTTGGAAACAAAAGAAAAAAGATATTAATTTCATTAACATTAAATTAAAATGTAAAGTCGGTCAATATACTTCGAAAATTCAAAAGTCAAAATACTTCGCAAGCCTCTCCTTTCTGCCGACTGTACAATAAGATAAAGATACCATAGCGTGCGTTTGTATAGAAGACCTCAGAAAGAATTTCAATTTTTCTGCATTTTTTTCTCTCCAATTGTATTGCTCTGTTTTAATTACTCCACGTAGATTTCAGTTTCATAGTAGTAGCGGTTTAGAAACTTCAGTATTAACTCATGAATCAGATTTCATGAAGATCCCACCAAATTCTACAAGAAAATGTACCTTTTCAAGACGTCCTCTCTCGCTTTTTGTGTCCCACACAGAAGAAAGACTCGTCCACAAGCTTCATTTTCACTGAAAACAATACACCAAATCTCAAAATACACTAAACCCTTATTTCACGAAGAAAATAGAGTATGTAACTTGAATCAGCCCCCTAACTTAATGGTTCAAAGAAACACACTACCTAACACTGGACTTTGCTGGCTTTAATGACTTAATCAATTGCTTAAACTTGTGATATTGTAATTAGATTATTCGAAATATATGTACGTGGCAGGTATAATAATTTGTATGAGTAGGCCTACGGGACGTGCCCACAGGCCCTTGTCTTGCTCAAGAGAGTCGCACACATAGCCATTATATAAAACAAGGTTTGACAATCTGCTCTTTATGACCATTTGGTTCCTTGAACGCAAAGGAAGCTTCATTGGAAGAAGAATGCTCGACAATTCTTGCCTCCTCTCCGCATCTACTGCTTCTTCCATCTTCTCTCTCTCTCTCTCTCTCTCTCTCTCTGTGATCTGATTAAATAAAGAATCAAAATTCGCGGACTTTCATTTACCTTCCTATTAATTTCTTCAGTTTGCGAGACCACCACCTTCAAATCTCTCTCCCTCACACTCTATTCTCCATGCAATCTTTGTTTTCTTCTCTTTGTCGTCGTCTCATGTATTGTCCTTCTTCTTCATCAGTATGAACATGATCCTCAGATTCCGACATGTCCTAGTTTCAATTCTCTGGCTTTTCCTGGTTCTGATCATCTTCCGTGGCTGGCTCAGCTTCGCTCCCTCCAACGTTGGTGTTGTCGACTACCGCAACGACGTCGGTGCGACCACCCAGTTACTGTCTGCTCTGAATAGGAATAGGAAACTATTGGCCTCCAAATTTGACTTCACCCCGTTTGTCCATCGCCGCCACCATCACCGTCGTCACCACCACCACCACCGGCGGAGTCACACGACGGCGCATCCTCCGCCGTCAGAAGGGCAGATTGATCCGCGTTATGGTGTCGATAAACGCCTTGTGCCTACTGGTCCGAACCCATTACACCATTAACGAAAAGGTTCACGTTATATATGCCTCTCTTTTTCTTCTCCTCCATTCTTCTTCTTCATGTAATTTTGTGTATTCATTAAAAGGAAAAATCATGTAGCAATAATTTGTGAAATGTATACATACGATTTGCTCCTTAATTACGTTCTTTGCAAATTAACAAAGTATATATATTTGCTCTGATAAATGCGTGCCTATCGTTCCGTTATTGTACGGTGATGTAAGCAAAAGAGTCCAAATTTTCCGGTAAAACACTCTGATCATCAACTAGTTTTTCAATTTCTTTTCTTTTGGCAGTATGTATCCATATTATTAAAATGAGAAGATTAATTAGTATAATATTGTCGTGTTAATTAGAGGGATGAATTAATTAGGAGTAGTTGCGAGGGCACGGCACGGCAATTCCCGGGGAGGTTAACAAAATAACAAGAAATGTGGAGGAGACAGCCCATTTTGATATTGAGATTGGTTATGATATGATAGGGACTAATTTGATAAAAATATTAAATTGGGGATTATATTCCTAATAACAATGACATTGTTTTAAAAGGGTTGACTTTAAAGAAACCCGGATCAATGAAACACGCATTATACATAGGATGCTCACGTGGGTCTTTGCTGTAATTGTTTTTTTTTTAATTATTTTCATTTCATTATGTTATTATTATTTATCTTCCCTCTCATCTGGGATTTCTTTTTGGACCTTAAAAACGTTTTGTTTTTGTTTTTAATTTGGGGGAACTTTTAGGTCTGGATAGCTTGAGTTTTGCTTCAAGTTATCAAGCACGGGTGGGTATTTAGTTTAGTGGAGTTTAACTACTACGATATAGAATATACTCTCCTCAATGTGTGTGTGGTAACATGTGGTTGAAGCTTGTTGGAGATGAAGCAGCTCATGACCCTTTTTCACATTGGAATTTGACTTAATGTCCTTTGACCTTTTTGGTGGAGCAGTTATGCGCGTGGTTTATAATCTTAGGCCTTGTTTGGTATAAGGTATTGAATTTTATAGGATTGGGATTGGGATTGGAACTGGAATTGGGGCTGGTATTGGGATTAGAAACAAGTTTTAAAATTATGTTTGGTATAACATGGGATTAAAAAAAAAAGACTCAAGTTTAACCCAAAAAAATAGCTAAAAGACAATATTGCCCTCATCTCCATTATCATCCTCTCTCTTTCAGAAACCCTCACCTCCATCCTCTTCCACCGTCCTCAATGTCATTGGTGTGGTGGGGCGAGCACGTCTGCCGTCGCTGGGAGGTCCAGAACAAGATTCTTGCCTTTCCTCTGTTTCACGCGACTAATCGTTCGTCCTTGCCAGTTGCTGTTAAGCTTGTTCTTCCATCACCGTCGCTGTCGTCTACCACTGTAAGGAGTTTCGTTCAGGTCGCGAACTCTCCTGTCTCTGTGTTGCTGTCGATCCGTGCCCTCCCTGTCTCTGCATTGTGGCAGTTCTCTTCCGTCGTCGTTATGGCGGTTGTCTTCAGTAGCCGTCGTCTCTGCGTTGCAAGGTCGAGGATGATGGAGGAGATCCGTGTGAGATGATGGAGGAGTAAGCTGACTGGGCAGGTTTTTGATGAGGGCATTTCAATCATGAAAATTTCAATCCCAAGATTGAATTTGCAATACCAGGGGGGAGGTGGTATTGGGTATTCCCACCAAGATGGGATTGGGTTTGGGAATAAATTTGTCATTACCACCTACCAAACATAAAAGCTTGGTATTACTCAATCCCAAACCCAGTCCCACTTAGCCAGTGCTGCGTACCAAACGAGCCCTTAGGCTTTTCGAATTTGATTTGAGAGATTCGGGCATGTTTGAATTTTGCTTTTAAAAATTATTTTATGTTTTTTAAAAAATAAAAAAATTATTTAGGTTAGTATTTTAAAAATTGTTCTTATTTTTTATTTCTAAAAAGAAAAAGAGAATAACTTAGAATTATTTTTAATTTTAAAATTTTAAAGCACATTATAGTTAACTACTACTCCCTCTGTTAAAAAATGTAAGACATTTTTTGAGGAGTTGAATGTTCAAAAATATAAGATATTTTTATTTTTTTGAGAAATAATTATTGTCTTCTTTTCAAAAGTGCTCCTATTGATAATGACTTTATATTTATTATAGTTTGTTTAATAATACTAAGTATGAAAAAATAAGATTAATTTAAAGTAGGTAAATATTTTATTGAGAGGTGAAATTCGATTAAAAATACCTTATATTTTTTAATGTGGAAAGTATAAATTACCTTTGGCTATGGTTAACGAACTATTATTTGTCGTCAGCATTAATTATAGACTACCACCAATGTTGTTGCTTTTTTAATTCTAAAATAGTTTTTAAATTAACATAATAAAACATATTCTTATTTTTTTTGTTTTTAAAAAATATTTTTTTGAAAAATTGGTTCACAAAATAGTTTTAAAAGCAAAAATATAACGAACCCAGATAAAACCTTATGCGCTGTATTTTTCAACTTTTCCATTTTTAATTTAAAACCTCTTTTTTTTTTAACATTTCAAACATTGTTCTTACTATGATCTTTTAAAAAAATAAATTATATATTCATACTTGACATGTAGAAAGATTTGCTATTCTCTAAAGTTTTCTAGACAGCGATGGTGTTGGAGCCTATTCTTAACTATTTGGTTGAATTATGACGCGGATCGTGGAAACTAGCAAAATGGATACGCCACACCACTTTGAGTGGAGCATGTTAGTCTTAGGACTGTATAAAAGTAATAAAAATCAGTCCACAGACATATTCCTTCAAAGTTCGAACAAATCAAGATTAGAGTACAAAGTGCAAGGCAGGGGCTAGGGCTTTGGTACACTGAAAAAATTGAGAATGAGAGCAAAGTTGAGTGAGTGGTTGAGACGCTAAGTGCTATTGAGTAACACTGTTGAGGTGTCTTTTCGATCAAAGTGCAAAGTGTAAGGTAGGATTAAGACTTTTTTTCTAAGGCTTATTAATTAATAATTTATAAATTAATTTTAATTATATTAAAATAATTATATAGGACCAAACCGGACCACTTAGTCCAGATACTTGGTCTCTAATCTGGTCTTACTCGAAAAATCAGTCCTGTCTTTTTGATCTTTTTGATCCTATAGGACCAGCATTTTACAGGATTGGACAAGACCGGATTTTCATAAGTTAGACTGGACCGAACGAGACTAAGAGACTTTTGCACAGCCCTAATTAGTCTGCACACCCATCTCTTAGAAATTTGAAAATTATTTAGCGTCCTCCAACTTAGTTTTCAAAAGTAATATTTGATTCAGAATATAAGTTATTTATATTTTTTTAAAAAAATTAATCTTTTAATCCTTCAACTTTTAACTCACTTTTAAGTTATTTATATTTTTTTAAAAAAATATAATTTTTTATCTATAAACTTTTTTCATTGCAATCTCTAATTTTTTTTATTAAATCAATAATTAATAAAAAGTTTAAGAATTAAAAAATTATATTTTTTTCTAGTCATTCGTTTGAAAACATCCATGCATGTTTTTTTTAAAAAAAAATTTAACTCTATCATTTTCTCATGTAAGTTACATATTATGCTTTGAAAACCTATACATACATACATACATACATACATATATATATATATATTAATAAGATTAAATTGAAAACAACGGAGTTTTTTTAAGATTAATAATTAAATATTTAAATCAATATTCTTTCTAGATTCTAGAATCGTGAATTATTTAAAATTATCATATATTTTTGATTAAAGAGAGAATAAGAAAAAATTAATTTTGATTCGAAAAAAATATGTAATACTTTCGCCGGGTTAAAAATAATAACTAGTGTTTTTTTTTTAAATAAGAATTATTAGAGCATCATCCTTCTTCACCTGCATAAACTGAAATTTAATCTTCCTTGGAAAAATACTAAGGCTTTGGAAAGAGACGAAAAAATTATCCCATAAATCGTATATATATATACTTTTTTTATTTAAAAATATAAAATATTTTTTGAGAAGTTGAATGTTTAAAAATATAAGGTATGTTTAATCTTTTAAAGTATTATCATTGTCTTTTTTTCAACAGTGCCTATTGACAATGACTTTATATTTATTGTAGGGTGTTTAATAGAAATAAATATAAAAAATATAATTATTTTAAAAATAAATAACTATTTTATTAAAAGATAAAATTTAATTAAAAATATTTTATATTTTAAAATGAAGAAAGCATATACATATATAACTTAACTGGGAATGAGAAAAGGGCGAAAACAGGAGTTTGCTTGTTGGACTCCAAATCAGATTCAACTCTCAAGATTCATACATCCACCGGTAATACTGGAATGGGCACTCATAATGTTTTGCTTTTTGGTCGGTTTTGCCGGTGCCCTTCACCTGCTGATAAAGTATACTTTTAACTTGATTTCAATATGATTTTGCCCTTCACAATTAAAATTATTATCAATATTTATATTCTTAGTTGATTGTTATCACAACAGATATTTTGCCAACCTACCCACTCCTCTCGTTCTATTTATAAATTATTTTTAATATATTTTATTAATATCAATAAAAACTTTAAACTTTATTTATTTTATCTAAAAATTTAATAAATTTTTAATTTTATCTTTATTAAATATATATATATATATATATTAATAATATATTTTTCCTTTCAGCATCGATGAAGGATAAACAAGAAAGTTTGTGGTAAAAATTTAATGCTGTAATTTATAAAAAAAACCAGAAATATTCCCCCCCCCCCAATCATATAAAAGAGATATCATGTAGCAGTGTCTCTTGAACTGATTTCTAGAAAATATTTTCACTTGGCAATCATAGAAGTACTGTCCAACACTAAATATGTACATATTTTCGAGCAGAATTTTTTAATTATACAAACAGTTAAGAATTATGATTTCATTAATTACCAAAAAAAACACTTTTAGGTTGAATGGACCAACCAATCACACTACAGGGGTAAGCATAAGCAAAGCCGCCGCCCCCCCCCCCCCTTTTTTCCTGTTACGGGCTCGTGATTGCCAGAGACCCAAAATATTGGGATGGGCCTAACCAATTAAAACTTAAAAGTAAACAATTGTTGGATCCATTAAGATTCAACGGTAGAACAATTTCATTCCTGCATTTTCAAGCAAACACTAATCACCACGCTTTCTTTGGTAAACAGAAACCGTCCTCGTTGCTTTGGAGG